CCTTGCGTAGATTCTTCGCCGTCAGGGGTCCCGCCATCCAACTCCGCTCCGATAACGGTACCAACTTCGTGGGAGCGTGGAACGAATTGAATGCCGCGTTTAAAGAAATAAATAAGAACACCGTCGACACCTACCTGAGCAAAGAACGCTGTGAATGGGTTTTCAATCCTCCCCATGGATCCCATATGGGCGGTGTCTGGGAGAGAATGATCGGAATTGTTAGAAAAGTCTTAAACGCCATGCTAGCCGATCTTGGATCAAGGCACCTCACGCACGAGGTTCTCACCACCCTTATGGCCGAAATAATGGCTATCGTCAACAGTCGACCCTTAGTACCAGTTTCCACCGACCCGACCATGCCTGAGATCCTTACGCCTTCTACGCTGCTAACCCAAAAAACTTCAACTTTGAAAGCTATCCCGGGAGAATTTACAGCGACCGACCTTTGTAAACATAACAAGCAATGGAGACACGTACAACACTTAGCGAATGTTTTTTGGTCGAAATGGCGAAAAGAGTTCTTGCCCACACTGCAGCCGCGTCGGAAGTGGCAAGAAGAAGTTCCAAATCTTGAAGCAGGAGACCTCGTGTTATTACGTTGTAAAGACGTCGCAAGAAATGAATGGCCACTCGCCCGGGTAATAAAAGCGTATAAAAGCGCCGATGGCAAAGTACGGAAGTTAAATTTGATTACCACCAGGGACGGTGCGAAGCACATATACACTAAGCCAGTAACTGAAGTCGTGCTGCTCAAAACTGTGCATGAGTTAAAATGATCAGGACTAACTTTAATTAAAAACGTTCGTTTGATTGTTTAAATTAATAGTGGTATCATTAGATACCAGACGGGGAGTGTTCTGGCCGTTCGGCCTGTTCTTGTTAACAGTTCGCGCCAATTACATTTTAATGCATTCTAATTGGTTAGTCACCCTCGCTGCTGGGGGTGACTCGAAGGTTGTTATTGTAAGATTCTTTGTATTGTTTGGAGGCGATTCGCAGTCGATTCTCCTTTTACCACTATAACACAAATAAAATCACTTTAAAACAAATTTGTGTTGGTTATACTGCTGATGAAGGGTCTCACTGAGCGGGGGCCCGAAGTATCAGAACAAACTTTTTCCTATATTTAACTCTGTCTTTGCCTGTCAAAAGCAGACATTGACAGTATATACTTGAAATTCTTAAATTTATACTTTTTTCATATATTTTTTGTACTTGTTGTAATTTTCTGTATATCTTATTATTATGTTCTGTTTTTTGTTTACACTTTGTTTTGAATAAATCTATCTGATTGGTTGTTTTTGTCATGTGATCGTACAAAAGCTCATGTAGCCCAACCACTGAGCCCAACCCCAACTCCCCGCTACACTTAAACAAAACTTAATCTAGGACGGGAACGTGACAAGAAACCATTTTACACTTTTAAAATTATAAAGAATTACAGTTATTAAGAACGTCAACAGGCTGGACTAAAGTGGAACGAGGGCGGCTATTAATATTATATTTATACAAGAAAAAAAAGCAAAAATTAATAATTAAAATCCTGCGGAAGTTTTAGACGTCGCCGTTGCTCTGTTTACAACGGCAAAATACAGATTGTCACGTCTTATATACAACGCTTATATTTCAAGCTGGGACAAGTGCTATTCAAATTGCGTCGTAGAACTTTTCCCAATCATAAACCTTGTGTTAATCTTGATCCTTAAACTGTACTATTTTTATACGGTGGAGAATAGACGACAGCTTTTCTTCTGCATTCATTTGGTTCAACGAGTCTTTTCGCCGTTGCCGTTCCCGTCCTACATCTTAAGCTCGCTACTTCCTCACGAAGGGTCTACGCTCGAAACGTCGAATTTCTTGTATTTTTCTTGTTGTTGCATCTCAACAGAAGTTTTGTTAACTTTATTATGAAACGTTAACTTGATTTAATTAAACGGTATCTATATTTCAACAACCTATATAATAACCGCATATTTTCTACTACTGCGGGAAAGGAGGCCAATTTTGTAAACCACATTTATTAAGGTTAATAATAGTAGATTTAAAATTTCTAATTAGTATACATTACTAATAATAGTAGTAGATAGTACATTATTACCTCCGCCAGGAGGTTATGTAATCATCTGGGTTTGTATGTGTGTGTGTATGTGTGTGTGTGTGTGTGTGTGTGTGTGTGTGTGTGTGTGTGTGTGTGTGTGCGTGTGTGTGTGTGTGTGTGTGTTTGTCTGTGAGCACGATAACTCAAGAAATACCAAACATATCCGTACGAAATTTTTTGAATGCATTTCCCATCGGCTAAGGAAGAACTGATTTAAATTTGGTTGAATTTGGTTAAAAATTGAACGAGAAATGAACAAAATTTTGTCTTGCTTTTCCCGGTCAATTATAAAAAACTCACTGAATGCGTAATTAGGACGTGTATAATGTATGCACG